CCTCATTTTAATGTGTGACATATTTTCTATCTAACATCTATTCATTTCAATTCAATTTTATTTCTATAGCACCAAATCACAACAAGAATCATCCCAGGACACTTTACATAGTAAGGTCTAGACCTTATTATTACCCAGCAAATCCCCCTTGAACAAGCACTTGGTGACAGTGGGGATGAAAAACTCCCTTTAACAGAAGAAACCTCTGACAGACAGACCCCAGCTCTTGGTGGGGGGCCTTCTGCCTCGATTGGTTGAGGCATCCTCAGCAGAAACATAGAGCTCCAGAGCCAGGGATACCTGCAGAAAGGTACAGGGAGAGAGAGAGGACACACTATGGGAGAGAGGAGACATTCAGTTAATGACATGTAATGCTGGCGTATAGATGCATGGAGAGAGGAGAGGAGAGGAGAGGAGAGGAGAGGAGAGGAGAGGGGAGGGGAGGGGAGGAGAGGATCTCAGAGCATCATGGGGGGGGCTGCCCTGCAGCTTAGGGCTATAGCAGCATAACTAAGGGAAGGCTCAGGGTCGGTCACCCGAGCCAGCTCTAACTATAAGCTTTATCAAAAAGGAAAATCTTAAGTCTAATGTTAAAGGTAGAGAGGGCGTCTGCCTCCTGAACTGAGACTGGGAGCTGGTTCCATAGGAGAGGAGCTTGATAGCTAAAGGCTCTGCCTCCCATTCTACTTCTGTAGACTCTAGGAACCACAAGTAAACCTGCACTCTGAAAGCGGAGTGTTCTGTTAGGTTGATAAGGCTCTACGAGGTCTTTAAGATATGATGGAGCCTTGTAATTAAGGGCTTTATATGTCATGTTCAGTTCCTGACTTCCTGCTAGAGCCTCTTTTTGTGAAAGGAACTTCTGAGTTTTCACTATCTCATTCTGTTCAGCTTCACCTCTGCCAATCAACGATTGATTCTGATCACCTGGCTAATTACTCCCACCTGTTGCCCATTGTCTCTGCCCTGCATATATTGCTTTGTTTTCTTGCTTCAATTGCCAGATAGTCATTAACATTCAGCACTGTGCTGCATAGTCCTGTCATCACCTGTTACTGGAACTGCATCTTGCCTGTCTGATCTTTGTTACCAAAAATGCTACCTACCTACCTACCTACCTACCTACCTACCTACCTGCCTGCCTGGTTCCACACTTGCTGCAGGAATTATTGCCTGGCAATCTTCCATCCTGATCGTACTAAGACTGTTTTCAAGACCTGTACTCCAATGATTTCTCCCTGTCAGCCTAGCACTTGCCACCTAGTGGCCTGCTTGGCTGTTCTGCCATCTCCTGTTACTTGTTCTCCAGACCTGACCTCAGTCTGCCTGTAACCTGTTTCCTGACCCATACCCTGCTTTTTCGGACTCTCCACCTGCCTGGCACATGCTGCTCAGCAGTGCTATCCAGTTGTCTTCTGTTCTCTATTGCCAGGTTCATACCCTGCCTGTTTTGACTGTTCTCCTTTTGAGCTCTCCTAGTAGTGTAAATTGCCTGTGTAATCTGATTTGTGTACTAGTTATTGTCTGGGCTAAGGATATTTTTATGTCAGTCTGTTTCTCTACTTATGTTCTGTTTGTGTTTTTTCTGACCAAGCTCAGTGAATTTTTGGGCTTTGACAGCTGAAGAGGACTGTTGGTTCATGTATTCTCTGGGCTTATTCATATATTTTTGGTCACTTCAGACATGGTAGCTTTAAGTCTTCCTTGCCTGATTACCAGATACCAGTTGTTTTTTTTAGTTTTGCCTTTTCCTACCCCCTGTGAAAGCCTGTGGTATCCACTCTGTGTAATAATGCATGACCTATAATTTAGCCCCCTGTGTATCTCACTTGTCCAGCTCTGCTTACTTGCACTCACTTACTTAGTTCCACACTGCTCTGGGCATGCATGTTTTTAGTAGCTAAGCAGAGTGGGTCCTGGCTAATACCTGGATAGGAGACCACTGGTGAACTTGCGGTAGAGACCTGTAATGCAAATGCTTAGTCAGTTGCCTACTCAGTTTTCACCACCTCAGCCATTCAACCTTATTTGTCATTAAATAATAATTTCTAACTTGTCTCTGTGTAGCATCTGGGCCTTGACATTGTATCTTAAGAGATTTTACAGGGAGCCAGTAGAGAGAAGCTTGTATTGCAGAAATATGATCTCTTTTGCTAGTTCAACTGCCTTTTTTTTAAATACATACTTTAGCAACTAAATGATACAGTGCATACATATTTGAACACCATATGATCAAACAGCTTTTTGCTGTCTTCCAATACAATAGAAAAGCAATAAACTATGTTATAGTTCTATGTATCAGCTATGCTTGTTGTTTTTTCTACTGTACATCTATATGTCTCAGTGCATGGAGTGAATTTCATAAAATATATAATCATGAGCGCTGCATAGATCTTAATAAGAGAGTAACATAAGTGACACAAGTGTAGGTAATCTATGCTAAGTGGGTTTAACCTCCAGCAAAGGGAGCACAGATAAATAACTCTCTCAGACCATCGGGATGAAGTATTTTTTTGACTTTGACATCCACGGACCAATAAAGGCCACAGAGTAATAAATGTGGGAAAAGTTATGTATACAATTAAAATTGTATTCAATCTATGAGATGATTTTTGCATGCACACAATCACTGAGTGTACTGATCAATAAAGCCCATATATCTTTGTGACATTCACTGTATGACTGAATAATTTTGTGCCATGTATGTTAATTTTTGTAATCCTGGCTAACGAGCAGAAATGTTGCCTAGACACAAAATAGTGATGCTGGAAAAGATACTGTATATTATAAAATTTTTTATGCAAACATGCTAGGAAATGGGTTTTTTACTTTTTTTTATACATTAACTCTTTAACACAAACATGTAGAACAAGGTTGAGTTTCTCTGTAGTAGTATGCCATGTATCACAATTAACCATGGTATTGCTGTAAATGGAAGGTAAGTGTAAAGAGTATGATGTTCTTTGAACTGCAGTGAAGAACATCTTACTCTGTCTAATTACATGATGTTCTGATGTCCGTCCGTGATTGAAAAAGGTCTTTCGGTCGAGTTCTGTCTCCAACTCTGCTTGAT